AGTGTAGCAGATGTGAGCAATGTGAAGTCCTGGCCCTGCTGATGCCAATGGGAATTTGTCTTTTGACATCAAAAGAGCCACTTTTCCCTGTAAAGCTCTTTAGCAAAGCTGATATCACTATGTAAGTAAACATCTGTCTTATGCCATCACTAACATAAGTAACACTAAGCAACATAACAACTAAACAATATTATCATTCCATTGTAAATTTAAAAATAAACAGTACTGTACAGCATTCTTTATCCAAACACTTTATTCAGTCATCTACGGCAGTGGTTCTCAACCTCTTCTGTACCAGGACCCATTTGTAAACATAAATGGCCAGTCTCAACCCAGTGCCCCTCACTCCCAACCCACTGCTCCCTGCCACCAGGCCCCACTCCCAGTGGGTGGGGCAAGGTGTGGGTGCAGCCAACCAGTCCCCTTGCAGACTGGAACTCTGACAGCTTCCAAGGGAAAAGCTATGGTTTCCCATGTTTTGCTTTCAAGGAGAATCCGTTTTTAAAGTTTGACCTATCTTTAAAGTTTGTTTGCCACCCTTTCATATATTCCTTGTGACCCACAGGTTAAGAAACACTGATCTAAAGTTACTGGAAAAGGCATTACTAATTTTGAATACAGTAATATTAAGTAACACTGTTTTCAGCTAATATACAATAGAGGTTATTCCATTAGAATTCTAATTATTACCTTTTGGGAAAGTAAGCTGACTTCATTTTCCACGTCCAGGAATTTTGCAATTTCTAGTTGTAATAAATGATACTTTTTTTCCATAACAGCAAATTGGCTTGACTGCTGAAATAAGAACCTGTAAATTGTAAGAAAATGGTGAATGTAATTGGTATGTATTAAATGTTTAGTCCCCAATCCTTTTACAATATAATGGGCAGAAGGGCAGTACTCTTAAAGTACTGCCCTTTTAAAGTTCTAAGGTAGAGTCTGTTTTATTGCATGGAGCAGAACTGTGGGATGCTGACCCCATGGTTCATTCAACAATAGACGAGATCTCCAATTACTTTTTAAGGAGGCTTTTATCTCTACCTAATTTTAGGACTGTGGGTGGGGGGGAAGGGTGAGCAGGCCCTCATTCATTCTGAAATGGGACTGATTAATGTAATCACCTTAGCCCAATTAAATTCTAAATTATTGGATGAAAATTAGATCTTTTACACCTATCAGATATCTTAAGAAGTATATTTTTGAAAACATCACTTGTCTAAAGAAACTCTTATTTGAATGGTTAAATAATCTATATCCCCCAGACCAGTAGTGTTCAACCTTTTTTCATTTGCAGACCCCTAAAAAAAATTTCTAATGGAGGTACAGACCCCTCTGAATTATAAGTGTGGGTATTCATATACTTTTGATTGATAATATTCATGTTTTGTGGACCTTTTACACACAGTCTAACCACAGGTTGAAAACTGCTGGAGAAATGTACCTAGTCAATGACCCAATATTTCCCCTGTACTTAAGACATAAATTTAAGAATTAAAACACGTATTCAGATATGGAGCCAGACAGACTCTCTCAAATTTCCTCTTTTCCCAGTTAAATAAGAGTTGACCCAGAAGCCTATCTGTCTACAGTACAAAAATGCAAGCAATGAGAGCCTGCTACTAGACTGTGCTGCCACGGGGTGGGGGGGAAGAAATGCTGGCTGTGGACACTCCCCATGCCGTTATGGGGGAACACTGGCAGTGGCAGGTGCTTTCCCCCCGCCGC